TTCTCATTTCCCACTCACATCTGTCTTTTGTACACTTTCCCAAGATTTTTGAAAGTAAGCAGTGATGTAAACAGGAACTCCTTTGTCAGCTCCGATGCCCATGTATTCATGGGGAATGGCGCGTGAACTATTTACGCGCTCTGCTCCATGTGCCATGTGCATATACTAAATCACATTTACTTGGCATCTAATAAAAATCGAAAAACCTGAAAACCTCTTTAATGGGCTACTTTAGCTACTGCAAAACTTATTCTTCCTGCTACTACAATCCCTTCCTCTGTGAAAAAAACTTGACACAACTGGCCCACCTCAATTCTTATTCCCGTAAGCACTACCTAGTAAGATAATAAAACAAGCCTTAGAATTAAGCTACCTTATCACATATTGATTTTGCTGCAACAGAGAACCGAATGGAAGAACCCAGAATTGAAAAATAGACGAACTAGATTGAATGAAGTGTAAAACTCTAATGGAATTAATATTTCAAATTTTTTAACTAAACGAAGACATTGTGCGTGTTTACAAAGAAGCAAGAAGAATAGGTATATACTGCCCTAGTACCGGTAATTCCCGCTGTTTATCATTTGCATTAAGGAAGTTAGTCAAACTAAAATGTCATAACCTCATAAATTTTAAGTATGGGATATAAAACTATTTTTAGACATGTTAATGTATAATGGAGGAAATCTTTGACTTACTTTGAATTATCACAAAGGTCAAAATAGCCTTGCGGAATTTTAACCCCGATGTATAATGCATCCGCGCGATTGTTTTCTCGCTTCCGTTGGGAGAGGATTACCATTCGGAAGTTAAATAAAACATCTTCCACTCAATATAAAAGGTGGCAAAGTTCCAATCCTGAAAGCAGGGAAAGGTCTACTTCATGGGCTACAGAATTTGTAAATAGTTGCTCTGAGTTGGAAAAAAAGCATTTGTACGATGCTTTGCGGAAAACATCAACCGAATCTTCTCAGCTGAAAGATTCTTCACCAGTTTCATTTCGAGATCTCCGATTAGGTTAGTCAGAATTGTCATCTTTTAATTTCCTTAGTTTTCTTGGCTAGTGCAACACCTTTTATCGGATTCGGTTTTCTAGATAATTTCATAATGATTGTTGCGGTAAGATTTCTTAAGTTAATTTATGCGATAGAATAGGGTGAATATTTTGATTTAACTTTAGCAGCAGTCTTTGGATTCTCGACTATGGCTGGTAATGTCTCAATTATTTCTAATCTCCTCCTTACATAGCTGCTGGAATTGGTAATTTAATATCGGATCTCTGTGGATTGGGGTATGCCATAGCTTGCTTTCGCCTTATTTTAACATGCATGCGATTACCTATACTCGTTTATTTATCTGTAGTCTCGTTGGTTATGTCGAACGCTACGCAATGTTATTTGGAGTTAAGTCACCACTCCTTTCAGAATCTCAATTACAATCTGCTTGCGTGCGTCGATATTCAAATCTTGTAAGTTGGTATTTGTTTTCAAAACTTAGGAATAACGATATTCTCAATAACAATATTACTAATAATGATATTGTGAATTTATAAACAGTTGAAAAGTTATTTGCCTTGAACACATGCTTATTGGTCTGTTCATCTGGTCTAATTTTCTACCTCTACGATTTATTTCTTGTTTCTTTTTCATTGGTCTTTAGGGCCTGAGTTCTTTTACTTTCGTTTTGCTGATTATCTATTCAATTTTCCATTTGGGCCGATGCATTTTCTCCTCATTTTGTGTGAATATTAGGCAGTGTCCTTGTTTCTTTGCTCTTTTTCACGATGCTTAGCAATATTTCTCTCTCCTACTTTGACAAATTATAAGAATGCCTTTTTAAAGCATTTTTCCATATGTTTAACTTTGACCAACCTATTTAATAGAACTTAGGAGTCACTTTCACTGTTTTCTAGGAATTATTGGACAGACCCTTTGTTTGCCTTTGTGCTATTTGATAATTGGATTAAGTACGAGGCCAATTTTCTTACTCATTTTGACTTCAAAAGCACTTATTGATATTTACCTGCACACTTTGTTTATTATTGCATTTGTAAACTTTTAGTTGCTGAATATTTCTAATAATGCAATTTTCGAGATGACAATAACAGTTGGCATAATTAAAAACCCCCCACTAATTTTTCTTACAGAAACAAATTACAATATATTTTTATTCTTTAGCAGTTTGCATAATGCTCTTTTTTAGTGTAACTTGTTTCAGTGGGTACGATTAGTGCTCCTCATTTTTAACAACATCTCCTTTGCACACCAACAAGCTCTTTCACACTTTTAATTTAAAGGTAGTAATCCGAATTTAAAACCGTTTTGAGTTTTTTACGATCCTTAAACTTGTGATTCGAATAATTTTGCCTATGTTACCTATTTTCTGAATTTATTTGTGTTTAGGGCAGGATGTGTGGGATAACTTTGGGATGTTTGATTGGCATGATGCCCCTTCTCTTTTTCCCAAGCGATGAGAAAGAAATTGAGGGAGCGGAAGCATTCGTGACTGAGTCTATCGACGATACCGCGGTCAACTGAATAGCACAATCAATCCCTCTTTTCATTCCCTTTATTCTTCCACTCCATTTCTTATATAATTCCCCTTAAATTTTACTGTACATATTGCGGGAGTCATTTTTGATTTGTGATAAATTTGCTCAAAACCGTCGTCTACTATCAAACATGGTTTTTTTCGTTTATTCTATTTTTCTTGCTATTAATGTCGATACTATTATTTCAATCAATGGGAAGGCAAAATGAAGTTTTAAAATGATGAATTATCAGATCATACAGAAAAAGACTATTCAATCTAAAAATGGGGGATGGGTGGTGTAGGAATGGGAGCAAGGGAATCGAGTGAACCGCACTTCATCTGGGCTCCAAATGTACCAGGTTGTCAATTTCTAGGGCCAAAAGGCTTATTCAATTTTATCATCTTTATTGGGTAAATTCGAATGACACGATTTCATGTCATCTCTGTCACTAGTTAGGGGGGTTGGCCAGCCAATCTGAGTAGGCCTAGCTGATCTTGAGGATAATGGAATCAGAATCTCTCCTCAGAAAGAATCCGTAGTATCACCCTTTTCCTAAAATGCGCTCTAGAGAGCACTTTCATAAATTTGCTTTTGAATATAAGCATTGTGGCAATCGAGACTTGGACCCTTATGCGTCTTATATTTTTTATTAAGACTATTACTAATCTCTAGGACATAGTTAACTCGATTTTGTAAATGTGTCTAAAATTGGTGCGTCCTCAAGACTGTAACTAAGCTCAGTATGGTGCTTAAAGCTCTTGACGCTGTTGTTACCTCAAGTTCCGCATGGGGAACCACCGTATGAACGCAAGTGGTTAATAAAAGTTAGTAGGAGTGAGCATTATTAAGGTACAGATTCCGATTTTTAACGATGTGCTGAATCATTCTGTTTATGTTAATCCATCTTCCATGAAGCAATGTCAAGCCTCCTTATAAAGGCATACACACATCCACACACCAACGCATGCTTGTCATTTATCTACCAGCACGATCCTCACTCTAATTTTTCTTGCCCATTCCAATCTTACTCACATATTTTAATCGTTGCCATCACAACCATCTTCAAAGGTCGTGACAACCATTTAACGAAATTAACTGACTTATTAACATGGATTTAGAACTCATTAAAGAAAATGAAATTCGAATTGTGAGATTTGAGCATGACACAACGATCTATGGTCTTTCACTAACGACTTGAGAAATGAAAAATATGAGTTAAATTGAACACTTTCGATGATTGGAATTTATTCTAAAACCCTACTGAAATCCTTATTGAATAGATCCCTATTTCTTTTCCGTGAGTAAAGGAAAATGTAATTTTAATACTCCGCATGCTTACTGAAATTCATTGTTCCAATTTATTTTCATATATTACTGGAACTTTATTGTTCCGGAATACTGCTTAAGATGAGAATGTGTTTGATGTAGTGAAACAACATTGATGTTTCCTTCTTGCTGCAAAATTAATTGAATATCTGTTCAACTATAGGACCTTAGAACACTGTTTGGAGGAACGAAAATAACGTGGACCCATGTGTTGTCGTTATATTCTGCAAGTTCCAACAGGAAACATTTATGAAATTCAAATGGTCATTTAAGTTCGTGCAGTCATCAATATCTTCCTGGTCTCTTTTATAATTAATTAGAGCAGTAGAGTATGTGGAGTTCACAGCGCTACCGTGACTTTACAGAGGAATATCATGCACACTCCAGCAGTCTAGAAGGTGCGGCCATGTAATTCGTCGTGTAGGGAGCAAGTGAGCAAGCAGAGATCTCCCACCCAACCGCCAATCAGTAATCGTCGCGCTGTTTAACGAACCCTAAAAAATTGTTTAATGGCAAAGCTTCATGACAATGGTACTCAGTCATAATAGACTTTATTTTCACCGTTTGCAATGTTTCCTCGATATTGCATTCTGCATTCTAGGGGATTTGAAGAGGTTGGTGTGGCTTATTCAAGTGTTATAAATGTAGCAAACAGATAAGAATCTTTTAATGATTGCTACGAAAATGCCTTCTAAAATTAAATTAACACTTAAAATGGTATATTATAATCAGGCTTCAATCAAACATGACTAGTTAAAGTTTAAATTTGCAATTTGACTTACTTCACAAGTTCAGATTTTAATAAGTCATATAGATAAAAAAACTCTTGTAACATTATTTCAGTTAAAGCGTGAATGATCGATCTGAAATTAAAATGATACTTATGCGATTGGAGTGTCGGAGATTCCTTAGAGCAAAAATGCCGTTCTTGAGATTCGAGAGTATTTTCGACTGATAACAGCAAAAGTTTTGAGCTAAATTAGCTTTCATTTCAATAAATAAACAAAATGCCTGGTTAGTTAATATGATAGAGATCTTTAAAATAAAACAAAGTAATGAGGTGACTGTGATGCTGAAAGAAAGGCTCGAAAGCACAAGAATAATGAAATCTTTTATCCAAATACCTTTCTTACCTTGCCACAGATTAGAGGATTTAAACGAAATTGGCCTTTATCTCAGCATTAATCTAGGTCATTTGGCCAATAGAGAAATGCCGAAGACATGAGTGAAAGTCAATGATTTCAATGTTGGGACCAACCTTTTCGTAATTAGCCCGGTTTAGGACACACTAATATGAATCACCTGGGGTGTGCGATAGACTTACCTCCACGTGGTGTACCCTGGGCAACGTATACTCATACGGCAAAAAGTCTATTTATCGGCAGTTGACTTCTGACTTCAAACTACCATGACCCCACTGTATGTCATATTCGATAACTTCCATCATACTTATCCTACCTTTTAACATCTTTAAACACTCTACTGTTCACCCCCCCCTTGACTTTTTTCGATTTAATGTTCCTCTTCCTCTGTGAAGCCTGAAGTCAACTAAAGG